TTTAACTTGAGATATAGTTCTAATTCCTGGTAATTGAACAGCCACCTCTTGAAGAGGCCAATTTGGATGCCAAGATTCTGGAGTAATGATATTCACATTCACGCCTGTGTCTATCAAACCAACAATTACAATGCCATTTATATGCACTCTTTGCTTTGGTCTTTGATCATTTATAGAAGTCTACCAGAATATATATTTCCTATTGTCTATCAGAATTTTTTATCCTCCATGTTTATGCTATCATCTAGAACAGTATGGTCTTTTACAGAAGGCTCTGGATTTTTTAATTTTCCTGGTGAGATATGTCCTCCACAGTGACTGGGAATGACTGGGCCACTTTTGGCTTGGGGGCCTGTGGGAGGCCCCCCAAAGAGTTTTCTGATGGTATCTGGTTGCCTTGTCTGTCTTTTGTTGATCTGCATTCATTGGTCCAATGTCAGCCTTTGCCACACCTTCTCTTATACCTGAAGGCTGAGTCCTCCTATTCTTGCCATTCCTGGAGGAGATATTATTACTAAGAATTCCTTGTCTACAATACTTTCTTGGATGTTCTATTCTAACATAATTAAAACATTTGGCATTTTGATGTCTTCCCATTCCTTTGGAAATTGCTTCTCCTACCCTAGATTTGGTACTATATTCAAATGTCTCGATGTTCATTGTATGCAGGATCCATTCATCCATAGGTGATGATCTAATCTTTAAAGGCCCAAGTATCTTTTTGCATTCTAAACTAGCATTTTCAAAAGCCAGAGATTCAGTGAGTACTCATCTAGCATCTGGGTCTGTTACTCCTATTTGTACAGACTTAATTAATCTTTGTAAAAAATCACTAAAGGGTTCTCTCTGGCCCTGTTTAACCCTGGTATATTATTCAATTCATTTCATTAGTTCTTGAATTCTGTCCCAAGCATTTAACTCTGCTTCGTAGCATAGGGACAAGACTTGTTCATTGTAAAGAGCTTGAACCTGTGGGTCAGCAAAAGTACCCTCACCAAGAATTTGATCTTGGGAAGTCTCAAGTCCTTTTGATTTTCCCTGTTGTTCTAAAATTTTATCCTCTTCCTTAAAATAACATCTAAACATCAACTGGGGCCCACCACCTAGGACTGCTGAAACTAACTGAAGCCAGTCATGTGGTGTCATCTTTATGCTAGAAGCCCATGTCTTTCTCATCTCTCTAACAAATGTGGAATGCAAGCCGTAAGTTATGACAGCTTGCTTAATTTCTTTTATATCATTCATTCCTACAGGTATCCATCTACCTTCTTTGGATGCTTTTGGGCTTTTAGAACTTTATGCTTTGTCAGAACAGATTACAGGGTAGGAAGCTAAAACCCTGGCTAAGTCATCTCTGACAGCCACTGGCAATGTTGAATCCTGTTCTTGTGCCCTTTTTCCCTGTTCATCAACTCCAATAATTTCCTCAATCATTTCAAATCTTTTTACTATTGTCTTTTGTAAAGACTGAATCTCCTGGCCTTTATATATTCCTAGTGATTTCATTGAGGCACTTAGCCTCTGTTCTTCATTCTACACATGTGATTCCAAGGTCTGAAGCTTTTCCTTTAAAGATAACACCTCATCCTTGGACATTATTTGAATAGTGTGCAGATTGCATCCTGGAGAGATACTCTATCTGCTAACCTATCATAACATTTTAGCAAATTTTGACTGTCAGATTCAACAGTATTAATTCCTTCAGATAATTTCTTAGTACCCTTAAATACGGATTCAGTTTTGTCTGTCAAATTGTTACCTTTTTCAATAGTATTAATTTTTTCAGGTAACTTTTGATTTTCAATGGTATTAATCCTATCAACTAGCTGTTCATTATTAGTCTGTAAAGACAGTATCACTCCTAAAAGTGCCACATTCTTTCTTAAGGATATAATATATGAAGAAAAAAATTGAATCCCAATGTCCAATAAATGGAAGTATCATCATAACCATGCAGATCACAATCCATAGTATTAGCAAAAAAATTACTAAAATTTCAATATTAATGTAATCTGCCATATTGATTTATTAATTACCTGTTATGAGATCCAGTAAATTTTTTTAGGTGTAATAATCTTTATTGTCCAGTAGGTATTGTGGTTGAAGAGTCCTGACTAGCAGCGATGCAACTGGTGGCAACAGGAAAGGTCCTTATCCGCTTTAGTTTCCTGCCTTGGTACTGGTTAAATACTGAAAAATATACTTTGCTTGACAAATTAAAAGCAATTAAATCAATTCCATACACGGAGCAAGAAACCCAGAACTCATGAGCAGAGAGCACAAACTGGAAGCTGCATAAATCACCACACAGCAAGGAACCACGCCAGGGAATGTGGCAGTGGGGGCAGGAGCTTGCATGCACTTAGGAAATTTCAAAGTCGCCACATGCAGTAAGCTCTGCAGTGGTGCAGGTTCAAAAAAAAAACCCACTAAAGTAAAAGCAAGCCAAGCGGGCAGGGTTGGGAGACTTTCTGGGCCCTGGACCAGTTAGGCCTTTAGGCCATCCACCTGGTAGGTGTGGAGTCTAAATCCATGTGGGGGCCAGATGAAGATGGATACTTAAAAGAAATGCCACACTAGCTCAGAATTGAGAATAATAGAGGGCTATTTATTCATGGGTAGACTCACAAATCAATAGCCTCTGCTGAAACGGAGAACAGTATCCAAATCCCGCAGCCAGAAAAGAGGCCGGATGTGTGCTTTACATGGTCATAGGTAGTATAAGAGGCCATGCCCAAGTAGGTGAATAACTTAAAGGCTACTGGATGCAAGATTTCCTACTGAAGTCTTAGCACTGTTGGATGAAAAAATGCAGTGCATCAGATTAGTGGATATTTTGTTAAAAATGTACATTCTGAAATGATACACTTTTTTCAAAAAAAATATTTATTTATTATGTATACAATATTCTGTCTGTGTGTATGGCTGCAGGCCAGAAGAGGGCACCAGACCCCATTACAGATGGTTGTGAGCCACCATGTGGTTGCCTGGAATTGAACTCAGGACCTTTGGAAGAGCAGGCAATGCTCTTAACCACTGAGCCATCTCTCCAGCTCCCAAATGATATACTTTTTAATTAAAAAGGTAATTAAATAGAAATTCATAAACCAGGCATGATGTGGAAGTCTCTGGCATTGAACAGAGTAGTCTGAAGACAGAGGCTGACTCAATCAATTCTGACTCTGAGGCTAACTTGGTTCATAGAACAACTTCTAGCAAAACAGACAACAGAGAGACAATGTATCAGGGTTCCCTGTCCTCTCTTAAGAAGGGAGGGGGAAGCAGGAGGAGGAGTGGGGGAGCTGGAGGGGAATGGGACAAGGGGAGAAAGTGTAAATTTTTGGAAAAATAAAATAAAATATAAAAAAATAAATAAATTTGAGAGTAGGTCTTTAAAAAACAAAAAGAAGGAAAGAAAGAAGGAAAGGGAGAAAAGAAAGAAAGAAAGAAGGAAAGAAAGAAAGAAAGAAAGAAAGAAAGAAAGAAAGAAAGAAAGAATAGAGAGAAAGAAAGAGAATAAAAAAATATGATTTCCTCTTGAATTTCTGCTAAAATATTTCAGACTGCCAAAGCTTTAGAGAATGAACTAGTTTGCAGAACTGTTTCATCGTCTGTAAGAAAGTAACTGTGAAAGAATCGAGAGAAAACTGGAATCCAATTTTCTGCATTCATAGGGGAACTGACAACATTGGAAAACCCAGGTATCCTGTTATCCAGTTATCCAGAGGCTCCAATAGCCTCTTCTGGCCTCTGAGGGCCCAAAAGGCTAGTGTTGCACAGACCCACCTACAGGTAGTAGAGTCTGCAATTTGTTTCCAGGCCACCCACCAGACTCTTAATAATCACACAAAAACTATATTAATTACAACACTGGTCAACGATTTAGGCATATTCCTAGCTTGCTCTTATATCTTAAACTAGCCAATTTCTATTAATCTGTATATTGCCACGATGCTGTGGCTTACCGGTAATGTTCTGGAGTCTTTCTCCTTCGGCAGCTACATAGCATCTATCTGACTCTGCCTTCTTTGTTCCTGCATTCAGTGTAGTTTTCCCACCTACCTATATTCTGCCCTGCCATAGGCCACAGCAGCTTCTTTATTAACCAATGGTAATAAAAAGACATTCACAGCATACAGTATGCACTTGTGATGGCTTTTTGGTTCCCAACTTGAGTACACATGGGCTTAACTAAAGTTCTAAAATGGAGGGCACAACTGTGAGAAATGTTTTGCTTATGTTGAAGTAGGTAGATCCACGATTAATGCAGATTTCAGAGACAGAAAGACACTAAAATCTAATCTGCTTCCCAAGACTTGAAGACATACACCTTTAATCCAGATCTAGAAGGTGGAGACGCTCCGTAAATTGGGCCACACCTTCTGTTGGAAATATATAAAGGAACGTGGAAGAAGGAAGCTATTACTTTTTGCGTGCTTGCCCTCACCTTGGAGCAAGTCCATTCCTTCACTGGCATTAGAGAATTCCAGCATAGACCAAGGACCAGTTAGCACGTCTAACCTCCTGGACTGGGTAAGTACTGAATTCTTGGACTCTCCCTTCCACAGTTAGCCGATGTGGGATTAGCAGACTGCAGCCCTGTCATTGTAATGCATCTCCTTTGTTCAGACAGAGAGAAAGTCATTGTCTATGTTCTGTTACTCCAGAGAACCTTAGCACAACATTTTTGATATGAGTTTATGAAATGTTCCAAATTTTCAAAAGTTGTGTATACTTGTAAAAATTAGCTCCCCATTGACCTGAGATTCTATCTAGAAAACATGAAGTGACAGAACAGCCCCTGGTAACCTAAACTAGCTAGTGTAGTCTCTGGATGACTTCAGAGACTCAAGGTCCCAGCCCATAGAAAAGGAAACAGAAGAGAAACAGACACTCAAAATCTAAATACTGTCTATTGTTGTCTCCCACATGGTGAAGAGAAAACAAATCCTAATTCTTCATTTGGATCCAGTTTAGCCTTTAAACACTCTCCACAAGAAATGTCAAAGGACATCATAGCCCAGAACTGGGACTACAAAGTATTCAGTGTGCCGAATTTCTACTGCAGGTGGACCATAGATAACTTCTATTTTATTTTAGAGAAAAGGCAGGAAAGCATTAGAAGCCCAAGTTTCTCAACAGGAGACAATGACAAGTGGTGTTTGAGAGTTCACCCGAACGGGACCGATGAAGAAAGCTCAGACTACCTGTCAGTTAACCTGGAGCTACTCAGCTCTCCAAAGAGTGCCCTGATTGCACAGTTCCAGTTCTGGATCATCAATGTCAAAGGAGAAAAAACAGAAATTGTCACAAGTCCAAAATGCTTTAGGTTCCGGCCAGGCTATGAAGGGGGCTACAAAATGTTCATCCTTAGAGATTTTCTCTTGGACCATAATTATTGGCTTCTCCCTGAAGACAAACTCACCCTCTTCTGCAGAGGAATCCAGTTCCCAGACTCCAACACAATCTCTGAGGAAACCACAAAGTCAGAGATCCAGGTTCCAAGGTGCACGTTGGCAGATGAGCTAGGAGAACTGTGGAAGAATTCCAGCTTCACAGACTGCTGCCTGGTGGTAGCTGGCCAGGAATTCCGGGCTCACAAGGCCATCTTAGCTGCTCGCTCTCCAGTTTTCAGAGCCATGTTTGAACATGACATGGAGGAGAGCAGAAATAATCGCATTGAGATTCATGACCTGGAACCTGAAGTCTTCAAGGCAATGATGGGCTTCATTTACACCGGGAAGGAACCAGATCTCCACAGTATGGCAGATGCTGTGCTGGCAGCTGCTGACATGTATGGCCTGGAGCATTTGAAGGTCATGTGTGAGAGTGCCCTCTGCAGGGACCTCTCTGTGGAGAATGCTGCCCACACTCTCTTCCTGGCTGACCTCCATAGCACGGAGCAACTGAAAACTCAGGTCCTGGATTTCATTACAGCTCATGCTTCCGAGGTCTCTGAGACCTCAAGTTGGAAGACAATGGTGGATTTATACCCCTACTTGGAGGCTGAAGCATACAGCACCCTTGCTTCTCCCCAATGCTCTTACTGTAGTCCCCCCTAAAAGGCTTGAAGCAAACCTAGAACCCTATCAAATGTGAGCTACATGTGTATTCCAGAAGCAGCAGTCAGTGCTGCTACCGATGCTACCTACCGGGTAGACTACGGGGTATGTGGAGCATTTACACTGAATGTGCTGAGACAAGCTTTAATACTGTTGTAAATGCATCAAATGGTATAGCAATGTATTATTTGTATTTTGATAAATAAATTTTGACTGAAGACCAGATCAGAGATTCCCCACACTCCCACTCCTAAAGTCCCACAAGAACCCCCGAACTAAACAACCACAGTATGCATACAGAGGACATAGTGCTGACCCATACCGACTGTGTGATTGCCTCTTCAGTCCCTGTGAGCCCCTATGATGCCCTATGATCCCCGTTTATCTGATTCTGTGACCCCTGTTCTGATATCTTTCATCCCTCCTACAATCCTGCATTCCCTGTTCCTTGAGGTTCCCAGAGCTCTAATGTTTGGCTGTGGCTCTCAGTATTTGCTGCCACCAGCTGCTGGACAAAGCCTAACTGGTGACAGCTGGGCGAGGCACCAGTCTCTGAGTACAGCATCACATTAGGTCTCATTTCATTAACGTGTGTGTGTGACCTGTGCAGACCCTGCACAAACTTCCGCAGTTGAGCAGGGCTGGGCTGCTTCTAACAGAAACACCACTGGAATTCACAAAGTGATTCGGCAATCTTTATTCCTTTTATATTGTAGTGTATTTGGGGTAAAATTTTGTCCACATAACTGAAGAAGGGTCCTCTGCAAGAGGAACGATTGCTTTTTGCCCACTGAGTCATCTCTCCAGTCCCCACACACTGAGTTTGGAGGGAAAATGTCTTCATTCTCTACCCCTTCTCTTGTAAGAAAACATTCACATTTGTTTTCTCCTTTGCTCTGAGCCCTTGATGATATGTTCTCCAAAGCTAAAGCCACTAGAGGTCAGACAACGGTGAGTCACACCTTTAATCACAGAATTTGGGAGAGAGAGGCAGAAGGATCTCTATGAGTCAAGGCCACTCTGGGCTACACACACACACAATCAACGTAGAAACGAATCCAGGTGGTGGTGGCTCACGCCTTCAATCCCTGTTCTAGGTAATCCCAGCACTCGAGGTGATGTAAAATGGGAGGAGAGAGAGGCTCAGTCGCCTTAGTCAGTGGCCACCCAGCCACGGTGGAGGAAAGACTTCTCTAGCGACTTGGCTACTTTGCTTTTCTGGTTGTTGGTTTGAACCCCAATATCTATCTCTAGGTTTTTATTTTTTTTGCTACAGAACGGCAGGGTGGGGGAGGAACAGTGATGAACTCTGATGGACTCTACGCATCCTCTCCCCTGTTGCTGTACTGGTTTGATTTTTGTCCAGTGATTTGAAAACTGGGGTTTAGTTTAGTTAAAGCCCCAAGCACATCCCAACTCTTCTTTGAATGGCAAGTAAATTGTGCCAAAACTATCTGGCCCTGGACTTGCTTTGGTGGGTGGAATTCTATGCTATTTCACTAGGGTTTATTCATCTGTTTAAAATACATATCTAGGGGATGGAGAGATGGCTCAGTGGTTAAGAGCACTGGCTGCTCTTCCAGAGATCCTGAGTTCAATTTCCAGCAACCACATGGTGGCTCACAACCATCTGTAATGAGATCTGGGCACCCTCTTCTGGCATGCAGGCATATATGCAGGCAGTATGTTGTATACATAATAAATAAATAAATAAATCTTTAAAAAAAGAAAAAATACATATCTAATCTTGATTTTATTTTCTAAAAGAGACATATTGCCTCTGATTTTATTTTTGTTCTCTTTTACTTTGTTGAGTATATAGTGTCTTTACTTATTTAATCTCATTAGCTTATGCCTGAAGTCTATTTTGTTAGATATAAAAGCAAGTACACCAGCTTACTTCCTAGGTCCATTTGCTTGGAATGTCTACTACTGTGAGATAATCTTTCTGTTGAGGTGGGTTCCTGGCTGCAGCAGGAGGATGGAATCTGTGTCACTGCCACTCCGTTTGCCTGTGACTTTCCCTGGGCAATCGAGAACCAATGATGGCTGAGTCCTAATATTTTGTTGTGGCTACTGTTTTGGTGGTGCTGGTGTGTGTGCTTCCCTACTTTTGCATTTATTGCTCTGAGATTATTTATTCCCTCTCTTATACATGGTTGTACTGAATCTCCTGAGATTGAAGTTTTCCTTCAACCACTTTCTGAAGGTATTTGTACTTCAATGCTGCTTGTGAAACATCTCATATTTCCACTTAGGGTTTTGAAAGTTTTGCTGGGTATAGTAGTCAGGGTCTGCATCTGTGGTCTCTTAGAGTCTGTTGCACATCTGTGTAGACTCTTTAGGCTTTTAATGTGTCAGTCATTGCTATTGTGGCTAACTGCCTGAGCTCAGCTTTTGCATCTGACTTTTCCTGTTCAGAATCTGATGAAAGTTATTTTATGCTGTTCTGCCTTATTGAAACAAATAGTTAACAATATGAGGTATGGTTTAAAATTTGTAACAAAAAATTAACTTAAAACTGGTAACTCCAAATTGAAACTGCTCTGGAAAACAGCATGTGGTCTGCCACCACCTTAATTAAATACAACAGGTGGGGAGCCACTGTTTTGACTAAGTTTGAAAAAAGGGGAGGTCATATGACTTCAACACCATCTTAAATAAAGGTGACCACGTGGAGTGGTCCCACCTATGAGTCATTAGGTCTCCAATATATTTTAGATTAGGATAGATCTCTGTATGACAATTCCTGTCCTGTCCTAAAAAGTAAGGCTCAGAGAGATAGAATTTAAAACAACACTGTTTTAATGAGGTATTAAAGCTGCATCTCCATGCATTCATGTAAAGGGATATATTTGACAGCCAGATTTTGTAATGTGAGTGTAATCCACTTCTTATTGATTTTAAAAGCATTGAATTGTTTACAATGTCCATACTTTATTTTGCCTTCCATAGAATGTGATTATACTCTATGTCTTAGGACCACAGCTGAACACTAGAGACCAAGACATTTCTTCTAACCTTCTTGTTTTTACTAACTTTGGTAAACTGTTTTACCTAATTTTGTAAACTAGGCCATACAGAAAACTGCTGTGTCCTATAATGTTGCACTAAGATATACATGCTAACCATCAGTTACTGATAAAAGAATTCTACCAACTTTCAAGAAGAGCTAATATCTGTATTCCTCAAAATGTTCCACATAATAGAAACAGAAGGGACATTGTCAAACTCTTTTTATGAAGCTACAATTACACTGATAGCAAAACCACACAAAGACTCAACCAAGAAAGAAAATTACAGACCAATCTCACTCAAAAATTCTCAATAAAATACTGGCAAACCGAATCCAAGAACACATAAAAAAAATCATCCATCATGATCAAATAGGCTTCATCCCAGAGATGCAGGGCTGATTCAACATACAAAAATCTATTAATGTAATCCATCATATAAATAAACTGAAAGAAAAAACCATATAACTATTTCATTAGATGCTGAAAATTTGACAGAATCCAACACTCCGTCATGATGAAGGTCTTAGAGAAATTAGGGATAAAAGGATCATATCTAAATATAATAAAAGCAACATACAGCAAGCCGACAGCTAACATCAAATTAAATAGAGAAAAACTCAAAGCAATTCCACTAAAATCAGGAATAAGGCAAGGCTGTCCACTCCATATCTATTCAACATAGTTCTTGAAGTTTTAGCAATAGCAATAAGACAACATAAGGAGATCAAGGGGATTCAAATTGGAAAGGAAGAGGTCAAACTTTTGTTATTTAAAGGTGATATGATAGTGTACATAAGTGAACCCAAAAACTCTACCAGAGAACTCCTACAACTGATAAATACCTTCAGTGATGTGGCAGGATACAAGATCAACTCAAAAAAAATAGTAGCCCTCCTATACACAAATGATAAACAGAGAGGAAAATCAAAGAAACATCACCATTCACAATAGTCACAAATAACAAAAAATATCTTGAAGTTAACACTAACCCAGGAAGTGAAAGACCTATTTGACAAGAACTTTAAGTTTTTGAAGAAAGGAATTGAAGAAGATACCAGAAAATGGAAAGATCTCCTATGCTTTTGGATTGGAAGGATCAACATAGGAAAAATGTCAAACCTACCAAAAGCAATCTATAGATTTGGTGCAGTTCCCATCAAAATCCCAACACAATTCCTCACAAACCTTAAAAGAGCAATAATCAACTTCATATGGAAAAACAAAAAATGCAGGATAGACAAAACAATCCTATACAATAAACAAACTTCTAGAGGCATTACCAACCCTGTCATCAAGCTCTATTACAGAGCTGAGTACTGAAAATAGCTTGGTATTGGCATAAAACAGAGATGTTGACCAATGGAATCAAATTGAAGACCCAGATATTATCTACACACCTATAAGCACCTGATTTTTTTAACAAAGAAGCTCTGGATGTCAGCATGTAGAAGAATGAAAATAGATCCATATCAATCCCCATGCACTAAACTCAAGTCCAAGTGGATTAAAGACCTCAATATAAATCTGACCACACTGAAGCTGATAGAAGAGAAATTGGGAAGTAGCCTTCAATGCATGGGCATAGGAGACCACTACCTAAATAGAACCCCAGTATAACAAACACTGAGAGCAACAATAAATAAATGGAATCTCCTGAAACTGAGAAGCTTCTGTAAAGCAAAGGACACAGTCAATAAGACAAAGAGACAACTTATTGAATGGGAAAAGATCTTCACCAAACCCACATCAGACAGAGGATTGATCTCCAAAGTATATATACAGAACTCAAGAAATTAGACATTAAAATTCTAAATAACCCAATATAAAAATGGGGTACTGAATTAAACAGATAATTCTCAACAGAAGAATTTCAAATGGCCAAAAGATATTTGAGGACATGTTCAATTTCCTTAGCTTTCAGGGAAATGCAAATCAAAACAAGTTGGAGATACCATCTTATATCTGTAATAATGCCTAATATCA